CAAGTGGTCTGCGTTGTGTTTGCGTGCAAGGAATGCCAGCAGGTCTTCATGCTACAATGTCATGTGTGCTTTTTCTTATATAGTTTGGCTTTTGCGGTGATTGCTGCCACCACTGTGCTTTTGATCACTTTGAAAACACTAAAATGTCTGTACTTAGAGAACATGAAATAGCCGTGACTGTCTTTTGCAGTAAAATCTTAGGCCTTTTTGTTTGCATTGGTTAGGTTTGTGTGGAAGAGAGCTTTGGGAAAGACATTTTAACCCACTGCTGTCCTGTTGCAACCTGTTCAGAATTACCTGCATGCTCATGCTGCAGTGGCACTGGGATAATGAGGTGCCTTTGGACATGCCAGGGGTGAAGCTGCAGAGGGAATGTAAGGCTGTCACATCCTAATGCATGTTTGATCAGCACTTGTGTAAGGGTGACAATGTGTATTCTGCTCATTCCAGCAGCAAGCAATCAGGGAAACTTGCATTACTAAAATGTACAGTGAGAACTGTACAGTTCTTGTGCGCAGGAATTAGCAAGCACATCCAGGGATTGTATTGTGAAGCGAACAGAGCACTTGACAGGAGTCTGAGAATAATATGTCTTTCTTCAGCCCCAGACACTGAGTCACTGTATGATGTTTGGCAAATTGCGTCTACTCTTTTTTAACCCCACAGGAAACAGAGGACCCTGCTTCAAAATGAGGTCTGTAAGAACTATGTAATAAATAGTCATTATAATGATACAGTTTTCTGCTAAAGCTTGGATAATCATTGTCAGCAGTGGCATGAATTTTAATTTGTTTCCTTAACTGAATGGAGGTTTGACATACGCAATTCCATGTTGCAGTTGGTCAAAATGACCCTTGATGGACTGGTCAGAAATTTTGGTGATTTTTTTTTTTTTTACTTGTAGACAGAATTCTTCGTTTAGTGAAAATAAAGTTCTTTATAATTTGAAGCCAATCGCCAAGAGAGGTTTGCAAATTGCTAATAAAAGGTTAAAATAATTTACAAAGAGGGAAATGCTGATATTTTACATTGTTATAGAAATAGCTGGTATTCCTTCTACTACAACATCTACACCTTATTTTTGAACAGTGTTAGCTGCTGCTGTAAAGATTATGAACTTGCCTAGAAGTAGAGGGACAGAAATAAATTTTTTGTGTGCTTGCATCATATCCTGGTACCAAATGGTGTGGTTGCCCTCCTCACCTCTGGGCCGAGAAGATTTGGGGTTCTGCAGTGAAGTGATGTCCAACATGTGCCAGCAGCTTTGCTGTTGCATTCATCTGTGCAGCAGTTCCTGGATTTCAGGCTGGTGGTCTCTAACTCATTGGCAAAAGAAACATTCATCGGTATTGATTAAACGAAACACAGTTGAAAACTAGGATAAACAGTATCTGTTAGATTTTCTGAATTGTTGATTTGAGTATTTTCCACAGATGCCCAGATGTTCACTGTAGCAATACATAAAATATATTGTTCATCTTCTCACCTATGCAGGACATGGCTTAAAAAACATAAAGGTGACCACTGTCTCCAGAGGAGCGGACCACTAGTTAATTGGTTTGAGCACTGATTACACGGAGAAACAATCAGCCATACTGTGTGTGCTGCAGGAACTTACACTATAAAGGCTAAGGAAATGCTAGTTTGTCCTAGATATGTCTTTTTTGCTATCTGCTACATGCTCACATAAAAAGCTTTCCAACATACCTGAATGGGGCATTCTAAAAGCCATTCCCCTCAATGGATCCCTGTGGCAAGAAAATGTCTTCAGCTTGAGTTCTTTTTTCTTTGCTGTCCTTTTTATTTACTTTTCAGTTCAAGTATGTATATTGAATAGCTCCACTCTTTCTCCCAGGAGATGTCAATCATTTCCAATGCTGTGGATCAGGGCCTTTCTGAAAATGCGTGTAATGTACATTGAACAAATGAAAACTAACTAATTCTAATAATTCACCAATGTTGTACTGTACAATTATATATATCATTTAAAGAGTGAGAAGCACCTCATAATATTGGAGCTCCAAGTTACACCTTCTACAGTGGTCCCTAATTAGTTAGAGTAGGTTTAACCAATTCTTCTCCCATGCTGTGCTAATGTACCTGGCCTGAAAAGGTCACAGGCTACTGGGATCTAAAAAGACTCTTACAGTTTTGCTCATGTGAGTTCCTTAACAACTGAGTAAAATTGGTAAAAATGGAAATAATAAATGGAGAAGGCAGTACCAAATACTGATGATATAGCTTCTATTTGCCATTGGTTTGGTCAGAAACTCTGCACTGTGAAAGTTTGTTCATTGTGAAGATATCTTCATGGATTATAGAACAGGACTGTTACTAAACACTTGGTTTACATCTTACTATAATTCTTCGTGCAAAAGTGGGTTATTTCTGACTGCTGTACAGGCTGGAGCATCTAGAGATTGCTGTAATCTGTGTTTTGCTGAGTCCCTAGAGGATTCATTGCCAGCTAAAGAGAGACAAAAGATGGTGCTCCCCTGAAGATCATGCTGTTCCTTCCCTTTACTCTTTGCTCGAGTAACCTGATGAAAAGAGCAGCTATGGCAAGCACAGGCTAGCTGAAAGTTTTCCCATAATCTGGGAATTAGATGGCTTTATCAGGCAACTATTTGATCTCTTACTGCTCATATCTGACACAAATGTGTTGTCACGTAGGAGAGAAACTGACATGCAAAATGCTTTCCCATAGGCAACGCAGTTTCTTAAGCCAGTGGTGCACAGTAAGTTTAAAGGAATGGACATAGCAATACATGTTTATGACGTCAGGAGTCCCCTAACATTAAATCAGGCATTTTATATGACTGCTATGAACCCCTTAGCTTCAGTGCTTGTTTGTGAACTTTCTTTTAGTCATCTGTTGAGAATGTTTCATAAATTCTTTGATTGTCTTACAGCCCTCTACTTTGGCTAGGAACACAGAGCAGCTGAAACTGAGGGCATGGCTTGGGTTTACAGCATGATGTTATAGAAAATCTTGATTATTTCTAAGCTTGATCTGGCAAAGCATTCATAAAGGTGCTGAGGTATTAACATCTTTGCACTAAGCCATTTGAAAAACAGGATTTGCAAAGAAAGATGCTGAGAGTTTATCTCCAGGATACAAAAGAGTTTCATGGAATAATGCTCTGTAAGCTGCTCTGACTCTTCAACCTGTTATTCTGCCAAGCACCATGTGTTTGCCAAATTACAGGGAGAGCCACATGGCACAAGAGTTTGTAGTATGAAAAGCGTGGTTAAAAAATGAGTAACTTGTTTTGTTTTTTTCCACAGCCCAAATGGGGTTGAATTACCTTGTCTTTTTTTAAACCATGACACTAACCTCTGAGATAAAACCCATTTTATCTCCTAAGTAGAGTTGAAGTGTAATTGGAAAAACAGGTGTCTTGAAAATCCAGAATATTTGTATTTCATAATGGGGATACTGTGTAGGATGGGAATGTCTGAAGCACATCACAGACAACATTCCTGTTTTGTCTGACCTGAAACTGCATTTCTCAGTGGTTAACAGTTCAGAAGCCATTCCTGACGCGGAACGTGGCATCACTGGAGGTACTGTAGCTGTGCTGTGCCTAGAATGGCCTTATACATTGTGTGTTTTACAGCTCTGGGTCACGTTGTAAGGAGCTGAGATGAGGAATACATTAAGTAGTTTATAGGTGGCGAGACAAGAGCCTGCATCCTGCTGCAGGTGGCAAGCACTGGAAGCTGATCCAGCTCCTCCATCAGGCTTCGTAACCTCGGCTGACCTCCTTGCTCTGATCACAGTATTTCCTCCAGTAACCCTGCTGAGAGCTGGTGAGAAAGCACTGACCCCTTAGTGAACCTCACAGGCTCCATATGCCAAGGCCTGAATTGCCACCCAGATGCCAGTGAGGTCAAAGAGTCATGATAAGATGCTGTGCAAAGCATCCTCTGCAAAATGCATCAGCTTTCACTTTCTTCCTCCTCCCTGGCCCTGACCCGGGGAGAGGCTTGTCATCAGGACAGAATTTCTGTGTGAGTGTTGGCTGTGAGGCTGGGCCTACCTAAATCTGCCCTTGCTGATATGCTCAGGTTAAAACTGATAGCAGAGAATTTTGATTCTCCTCTGTGTCCCATGTTCTCTGTAAGGATGCACCTGGCAGCTCCAGACTACACGCTGCTTTTCCAGCCTCAGTCATTCCGTGCTAGTCTATATATTTCTCTAAAGTCATTTAAACCAGACTTAGCATCTTGGTGTGTTACCTCGTGCATGCAGAATATCACACACACTCAGTAAAAATTTTTTGTGTTAGTCTTCTTTTCTCTTCTTTCCTACTTTTCGTTCTGTAAAGAAAGTGTCATAGCACAGAGCATTATGAGGTTATGTTAATTAGAATAGCCAGTAGCTATTCTGGCTATTCTAATACAGAAGTAATGCTAAGTAGTTGAGGTTTTGCATGTTAAGATATGGATTTATAGCAGGACAGAAAGGCTCTGCAGTAAGGGCCTAGTGCTTCATTGCATTTTTATTGTGTTTGGTAGTTACAGGTTGGGGTTTTTTTTGTACATAAGACATGCTGCCATTTTGAGCAGGCAGGTTATGCAGATAAACATTTTGATCATTTGTACAGTATGTGTGTCTTTTAAGGTGAAGTTTACAAGTCAATCTCTAAATCTTATTGATTTGAAACACACTATAGGCAGGACAGTGGGCTGAAAATGTGATCTTACAATCCTGAAGAAGAAGCCTTTGCTTTGGAATAGATTGTAATTAAGGAAACTGCTGTATTCCTTATCACCCTTTGCTCTGTAGGTCATATGTCTTGTAGCCTCTGTCTCTTTTGTGTTGCAAAGGTGTGCTTTCTCAGGGTATTTTTTACAATCACAAGTTAGACCTTGATGTTATTTTTAGTATCCTTGGTCCAGTGTGTCAGTGCTCTGCGTTATGAACCTTCTCATGGAATTTGGGGGGGGAAAAAAAAGTAAAACATACTGAAATACCTTTGTCATCTGTTTTTCAGGTTATAAAGTTTTGAACAGTGCCTCTCCAAGAAGTGTGATGAGAAATGGCTTTAGGAAACAATACTCAGAGAAGTTATTCCATCATTCCTTGCTTCATCTTTGTTGAGGTGAGTCCAGCATTCAGCTGCCAAGCCTACAGAAAAGGCAGCTCTTTTCTGCACAGATTAAGTAATTTGTTGCTCATTTTGCTATCAGGAAAGGACGATTTCTTACTTTATAACATAAATATCCATCTTCATACTTGATGCCATTAAGTCCGCCTGGAAACAGTCCTGCACGAGTAGTGCGGATCTTGGGTACAAGAACAAGTAGATGCAGTGTTTCCAAGACCTCTCCATCTGGTTTGCTGGCTTGTCCTGTGGTATTTGGCAGAGATCAGGCAGTAGTTGCAGATGTAGGTCAGTAACAGCTCATCTTCCCATCTTTCCTCAGACCCCTATCTGTCTTGATGCTGCACAAGAGCTAGACCTTGTTCAAGGAGATTTCTGACCTCACAGTCTCATGTTCATAGGCTTAGGAAACAACTCAGCTCTTATTTCTGTTCAGGTGGAATATACAATGTAGATGAGGCAAGCCTGTCCTTTAAATCTGATGGGGAGGGTTGACTAGCACATGGGGTGTGAATTGTCTAGCAGTGAAGTTGAAGGAGGAGTGGATGTTCCCATCATGGAGTATGATCCACATCTTTGTTAAGGGTAGTTGGTGTGACTGATTTTTTAAGTGACTGATTATTTTACTCTGTACAAATGACTGTTTTGTGGGTCTTCTTTTACTTAACCTAACACTGGTAGACTGGCCAGAATCGTTATTAAATCAGCGATTGTTTGACGGGTTCTTATGAGGCTGGGATGGTTTTCCTGGCAAGGGGAGGCAACTCTGTGTTTCGTAGGAGAATGAAAGCTTCCATCAAATTTATGTGATGAAAAGAAAATAACTGCCTGTGAGTAAACATCTTCAGAGCTACCTGTCTGATGTAGCTTGCATGCAATACTCACCTTCTGGCCCAAATTATGAGGCAACTTGTGCTCTTCCATAAGAGAAAGTGCTAAGAACTGTCAAAAGACTAATTGTAATCTTAATGTTGTGTAAGACTTATTTTACTTCTGCTGAAATCTTGCAAGGGTTTGAGTGTGCTGGCAGCAGTGGCAGGTGAAATGGGCATGGTTTTCCAGAGCTCCTGAGCATTGACACTTCCCAGGGGACATGGGAAAAGCATGTCCTGGTATCCAGGGCCTCTCTAATCCTTCATCATCAGCTGGAGTCCCCCCCTTTTTCAGCCAGTAGAGACAGTCCCCTTGTGTGTTCTCCCTACTTTCTGTGCTACCAGCTTAGCCCCCAAAACACAGTCAGACATTCCCTGGGTGATTAATGTAAACAGTACTTTTTATTTTGATTTGAATGGGCCTTTTTGACTGGCTGGAAAATGAGGAGAGAGGAGAAGCATGATAAAATCAGTAGTAAAGCTTGGCACAGGGCCTTCCGAGCTGTAGCTGTGGCAGACATCAGTGTGGGAAGGTGGCTGAGCCTTACAGTGCTCCACAGGGATTTGTCACATAATGTCTGGCTACCTGGGGAAACTGAAGGTGGGCTGTTCTGATGGAGACAATGGGTTTATCCTAACAGCTAAAGAAAGAAGGGGTAAAATGAGGAAAAAACATCAGTGAGCTCAGAAAAAAGCCAACAAAAAATAAACTCTATCAGGAATGAGATTTCTCAAATTTATTTCTTAAACAAGCACTTCTGAGGATTTTAAGTGCTCTAAATGTATGAATAATGACCATGGTTGGCAGCCTATGGCAGAGATATAAATTGTTCCTCCTGTAGACAAGACTGATATGACGATAAATGTGGGTTTGTTCTGTAAGTGTACATTCCTTGTGCTTTGCTGAGTAAAACACAACTTTAAATTAAAAATCAGTCAAAACTAGAGAAGTAGTGTCTGAAATGATGTTCTCTCTGCTACATTTGATGAAAACATGTATTTCTTCCCCTCTTTGCCCACAGTATGGATTTTTAATTTAGCACTACTGGGACTACAAATTCATAGACTTGTGTCAAGCATTGTTGCATTAAACAACAGGAGATCTAATTTCCTGCTGGGAGTGCAGAGATGATTGATTGATAGTAGCCATTCAGTCTGAAAATGGCTACCTGTAAACCTTAAGGTACACTGGAGGTGTTGTTCTTTTTCCACTGCTGTGCTCCCGAGACCAGAGTAAGTGTTGGTTGCTTTTTTCAGACGAGCTGCCCCAGACATGCAAGCCCTGTCTGGATTACCTGGGTTAGGACAGACCTTATTTTTATAGCTTGGAAGCAACCATGAAAACTGATTAGCTGCGTGACACCTTACTGCTGTTGAAAAAAGCAGGACAGCTAAAAATAATCTTGCCTGTTTTCCTGATAACATTCTTCAGTGCAAAAACAATCCAGCAGCAGTCATGTCAGCTGGTCATGTGTACAAAAGAGATGGTCAGTAAATATTATCATCAGTGTGTTCCCCAGAATGTGCTGCCTACTCCCTTGGAATCTTGTCCTGTGATTAAAAGTCTTGGGATATTTATTCTTAAGGAAAAAATGCTGAGCCTAGATTGTCATGTCGAATGCCCTGCCAGGAGGTATTTGCTAACAGCCCACTAGGCAATGTGGTTTAATGTAAGTTATGGTGGCAGTGGTGGAAATGAGGTGTCACAAAGAGTTTGGACACTTTAAATACCATTATGCTCAGTATGTACAAATATGACACAGTTTCAGCAGTTATTCTCATTTCCAATTTTTTTCCAGTTCATTTTCCTGCCACTGAACTAATTTGTAGCAGTTAGTTATTATGGAATCTGACCTGAAGATGAATGGCTCATTATAAAAACTTAGGCCCTTTGCCTGACTCTACAAATTCCTTTTTATGTTCAAAATATGAAAGTTTTAATAATGGAGAGATAGCATGTGATGTCTAATCTGTAATGACATAAATGTTAAATTGACATTTTCGTTCTCTAATTGGAAACACAGTGACACTTATGAGTAGATTTAAAGGCTAAACAGGGAATCATTAAACTAATTTTGATCCACTTATCAAATCTGAATTTCTCTCCCAAATAATGCAGGCAGCTTTCTGGATTGTTCTTTATTTTATTATAAGAGATACTGTTGCAATCTGGCATTTGTCACCAAATGTCTGTGAAGATCTGGTAGAGTACATTTTGTTAAACACATAAGCAATTAATTGGGACGTGCAGGAGTCTTTTCCCTGCCCTCCTCTGCAGACAGTGTCAGTGAAAGGAGCCTTCAGGAGGCTCACTCCCAGGCTTGGTTTACATGTAAGAGATTGCCACCAGATGAGACCAATTTTGTTCCTCATTCAGCTGATGTGTGCCACTGCTTTGAGCAGTGTATGGACCACTGAGTACCTGGTCCATGAGGACTGAAGCTGTTGAACAGATGTTAAATAATAGTGCAGGATGTAGCTTCCACATTTGTTCCAATGATGGACCCAGAGCATGCAGCAGAGTCTGTGGAGCTGCCAGCTCTTGGTATGCTCTGAATCTATCCCAACCAATAGTGCACAGCAGCCTTTGTGAGGATTTGGTGATGGCCAGGACTGATCACTAAAGTGACGGTAGGCAAGCAGGAGAGAAAGTAGGAGAAGCAGCATCTGGTTTGACAGGAAAAAAATTCTCACGTTTTTCCTCTTCCACTTTTCCACTTTGGCCTTTGTTTGCCAAAGTTCTTTATGGAGCACCTCCTCCCTCCTTCACCTGCTGGGATGTCTGTGACAGTGGAGTGTCAGAAACACCTGTAAAAATGCTTCAACACAGCTGTCCCAGGATTTTGCAATCCCACTTTGCGAGGTGTGATCCAAGGAGTGCTGTGTTACATCCTTCCACATAGCATCCACGTGTACTTGTTCAAGGTGGAGAAAGGTAAAATCATAACTGGTAGAGGTGTTTTGTACACAAAAGTACACCTAGTTTTCTGCAGTTGAGGAATAACTTGTCAGAACAACTAAAGTCCCTCAGATCTAGGCAACATCACGTGTAGAAGTGGGAGAAGTGCAGTGCCTGGAAAATCCCAGCTCTCTTCCTGGGGGACTGGTGAGATACACTTCATCTAACAGCGCTTGCCTGGTGCTGTGGTCTTCCCCCTCTTTTTTCATCTCATTTTGGGGTTTTGCTTTCTAGGACGAAACTCAAGCTAGTGGGGTGTAGGAGAGTCCAGTCTGGCTTTGAATTTGGTAGGTTAAAGTGATTGTCCTTGCATTTTCAATGTATGTGATGCTTACCATTAGTGATAGGAATTGTAAGGGGATGTGATAATTCCATTTTCTAGTAAATGTTGGAGGGAAGGTTCCATACTGTGAGTAAACAGCATCCTCATAACTATACATGACTTCAGGGGGAAAGCATGCGAACAACTTTAGAGCCCTTGTGGCTGTTTGAATGGTGTTTTTTAAAGATGCAGTATCCTCATCTTCCTGCAAGGAAAACTCTCATCTCTTCTGAGTCAACACCAATTAGGACTGTAATGGCTCTAGATAACAAATGGTGAAATTTGGTCTGGAATTTCTGCCTGTGTGGCATTTTCCACTTCGTTTTTCTTCCTCCTCACACTGCAAGTCCTGGTTTGAGGGCTTGAGTTGTTTCAGGGTGTGAGTTATCTGAGGACTTATTTTCAAGTGCAATTACTCCTGAAGGAGCTGAGGCTATCTGAGGTTTGTCTCTGCACATGAAAACACTGCAGTTTTCTGGAACCAGATTTAATTAAATTGTCTTAAACTGATCAAAGAGTTACTGAATACCAAGTGACTTTGATATGACTGATGTATATTCCACATTGTGCTGTATTGTGGATTATTGTAATCCTGACTTTGACAAGGTAGTAGGGGCAGACTCAAATAAGCAACACCATTAAAACTTAAAACATTGGACATTTTTCAAATTCTGTAATCTGAAGATCCCACTTTTTCACACTAAATCTATTATTCTGCCCTCAGGAAAGCTTTTGCAGGCAGAGTGGAAACAGTTTCTTCTTGACAATTTGATATACAGGGCATTGCAAAGGGATGGAGATTTTATAAGGAAAATCACTTCTCCCCTTCCCCCCAAAGAATATA